ATTACTAACATTATTATGGGTTAATTGTGAAACATCCCCCGTTTTACGAAAGGTTTTCCACCTATTACCCTTGAAATGTTTTATTAGATATACATCCCTGATTGGATTTTTGAATTTTTTTTTAACGCTCAGGGGTCTATTTGCAAGAGAAAATAATTATCTACTATTCTACCTCCTCGGTCTCCCCTCGCTCTCTCCCTCCATCCTCCCTTTCATCTAAACACCCACCCTTGCCGTCCATCCGCCCCACTATATGAGTAAAAGTGGTAAGAAAGAATAAAACAAGTTGCAAGCATGTAAGCCAGGGGGCGAGAAAAAAAAAGAAAGTCAGCGAGGGAGCGTACGTAATGAAGGTATTTAGGGATGCAGCGTAGTGAAATACAACACAAACACTAGTGCATTTTGTCGTTGACATCGTATTACATTAATGCTAACAAGTAGCAATGTAGCAATGGTGATAAAGATGGAGCAAGACTGAAGTTTCTGCAACCGTATGGGGAATTTCATTCGCGAAAGATTACGAAATCGCATTGCAAAGGAATTGTTGTGTTATTGCAAGATAATAATTTTATCTTCATCCTTTGGGTCTGATTCTAAAAAAAGTGAAGGAAAATTGGGTGTGTTGTTGTTTTCCTTCAATTATTCATGTGCCCCTACAAAGCAAACGAATCGAGTGGTGCACCAGCTGAGTTGTCTCGAAAAGTTGATGTAGATGTTCTCTGTAATGCCAGTTTAACTCATGCAGAGAGGTTTCCATCTACCTTTGGAGGATCCTCATTTCTTGTTGATAATAGTGTATTGTAGTGGGTTTTAGTCCCACATTGCTTGGGAGAACAAACATCACACTCCTCTACTTGTATAAATATATGTGCATATTCAATATTTAATTCAAGGGAAATTTACCCAAGATTCTCTCTCTCTTACTTTAACATGGTATCAGAGCTAGGGCTATTTCCCTTCCAATAAAAATTTTTTAACGCTTCTGTGTTCTTTTGCCAAATCTTGGCTTTATTGCTTTGCAGCCGTTTAATGTTTTTTTTCTGCCAGATATTTTGACATTGTCGCTTTGCGGCCTCTTAACGTGTTTCGCGTTCTATTTTAAACCTTCGGGTTTTTATTCTAACCTTCGGGTTCTATTTTAACGGCATTACCGTTTCAAGACCGTCTATCGGTCTCAAATTAACGGCATCGTCGTTTCAAGCCGTCTCTCGGCCTCAAACGAACGGCATTGCCATTTCGCAGTCCGTAACGGCATCTCGACATCTTAACGTCTCAACATTGCTGTTATGGCTCCTTCAGAGAAGATTCCCAAACCACCTTTGCCCATCAATGATCAAAGTGACTGGGCAGGGTGGCCCACCATTGTCACCAATGCCTTGCGTGGCGCTGGTTTGATTGATCATCTCACCAGTACGGAACCAGTTCCACCGTCCATCAGCACTGTTGCTTCATCCAGTACTATTACCTCTGGCAGTGGTAATGTCAATCTTCAGACTGCTCGTGCTCTCTATGTCAAGGAGAGTTCAGAGTGGCAATTGCAGGAATTTCGTGTTATGGATTATCTCACTCGCTGTGTTGCCTCTGGTCTCACTGTCGAGATTGGCTTGCTTCCCTCTGCTCGGGCCATGTGGACTCGTCTCACTGAACGTTTCACTGAGTGCTCGGGTGCACGGGAGGCATATCTTCTGTAACGCATTGCTCTACAACGCAAAGGTAGTTCATCTCTGCAGTCCCATTTTGGACAAATGCAAGCTTTTTGGACAGAGTTACGCTCCATGCTTCCTGGACGTAATTCCACATATGAAGACTGGCTAGCCTGGTACGAACGGCATGAGGTGCATCAATTGTTTCAGTCCCTTCCTGAATATTCAACTATGGCTGATCAACTACTTCATCAGCCTCAATTTCCGACTTTGGCCTCAGTTATGGGAGCTCTCACTGCTTATGAGACCCGACAGCAGACAGCACGACTCAATTTGTCAACAGACACTCCTACCTCTTCACTCAAGACTGTTTTGTCTTTACCTGTCACTGCTCCTGTTATGAATCATACTTCTCCACAGGCTCCCTCTCCACAGGCTCGATCTAAGCTCTCTTGCAAATATTGCAAGAAGGAAGGACACTGTATTGAGACATGCTTCAAGCTTCATCCTGAGTTACGTTCCTCAGGTACTGGTCGTGGTCGGCGACCCCCTCAGTCTCAACCCTCTCGTACACCAGGATTGTTGGCCAATGCTATACCTTCTACTACTTCAGACTCTACTATTCAAGCTATTGAAAGTCTTCGCCGTCAACTTGATGTTTTCCAACATATCACCTCTACATCCGCTGCACAACTCTCTGGTATGCATTTTACTGGTTCTTCAGCTAATCCTTCGGTCTCTGGTATGAATGATCTCTGGATTTTTGACTCTGGTTGTTCCTTTCATATGACTTGTAATGCCTCACTTTTATCATCTGCCTTTACTTCATCCTCTCTTCCTCCTATCTACACAGCTGCTGGACAACCATTATCCATTACTCAGTATGGCTCTATTACTCCACAAAATGATCCATCTGGTCTCAGTTGCTGGACAACCTGTCTTTACTTCATAACTTTCTTGCTGTCATTCATACTATTGTTGAGCTAAAGTCCTTCCAAGAGGCAGTTCAAATTCTAGAGTGGCGACAGGCTATGGCTGAGAAATTTCAAGCCTTTCAGCAAACTCATACCTGGAATGTTGTTCCCTGTCCTCCTGGGATCTCTCTTGTTGGCAGTAAATGGGTTTATAAGGTCAAGTTTCGTTCTGATGGCACCATTGAACGTCGAAAAGCTCGTTTAGTGGCTCGAGGTTTTACTCAGCAACAAGGTATTGATTATGAGGAGACATTTGCTCCTGTTGCTCAGATGCCCACTGTTCGTACTCTCCTTGCGGTCGCTGCTGCTCATCGTTGGCCCTTATACCAGATGGATGTCAAAAATGCTTTTCTTCATGGCTCTTTATCAGAGACCGTATATATGCAACCGCCTCCAGGGTCAAATATTCCTCCGGGACATGTATGTCTCCTTCGCCGTATTGTTTATGGTCTCAAGCAGGCACCCCGCGCTTGGTTTGAGTGTTTTCGCGAAGTCGTGCTCAAAGCGGGCTTTATAGAAAGTCATCAAGATGCTTCTCTGTTTGTTCGTACTACATCGCACGGTAGAGTTTTATTACTCATCTATGTAGATGATATGATCATTATAGGTGATGATATGGCAGGTATACAATACGCAAAATCTCAGTTGCAACAACAGTTCCACATGAAGGATCTTGGATCTCTTCGGTATTTTTTGGTCTAGAAATTTCTCAAGGCCCGCGGGGTGTATTACTGTCTCAACAGAAGTATCTCTCAGATATTCTAAATCAAGCTGAGCTAACTGGTAATGCAATTGTCGATACTCCACTCCAGCAGAATATCAAACTTTGCTCTACTGACGGTGAGCCTCTATCTGATCCTACCCGATATCGACATCTTGTTGGCTAGTTGGTCTATTTGTGCATCTCTCGACCATATATCTCTCATGCTGTTGGTATTGTCAGTCAATTTGTTAGTGCTCCAATGCGGATTGTCGGAATCCGTTCCGCATGTCACGTTGTGCTAAAGGAATGAACTCCCTTAGACTTGATGCTACAACTTCGAATATGTAGACTTCGCCATTGTTATGGGAATAGGCTACCCAGCAACGTGTTTGAGATTCTGACTTATCCCTACTTAGGCTTTGGGATAAAATTCCCCAGAATCAAACTCTGGTATCTTTTTCCATGGCACTACCAGAAAGTCTACCACAGGTTATTGTATATTTCTTGGTGATTCCCTTATTTCCTGGCGAAGTAAGATACAAGATGTTATTGCTCTTTCCAGTACTGAGGCGGAGTATCGTGCAATGTACACAACAGCTAAAGAGATTATTCATCTTCGTCGCCTTCTCAGTGATTTCGGCATTTCTGTTACGAATCCTACTCCTCTCTACTGTGATAATAAGAGTGCCATCCAGATTGCTAATAATCCAGTATTTCATGAAAGGACCAAACATATTGAGATCGACGCTCATTTTGTCCGTCACCAAGTTATCAAGGACAAGACAATTCTACTTCCTCATGTTTCATCCGCTGACGAGCTTGCAGATTTCTTTACAAAGGCCTTACCTGTTCATCTTAGGATTCGGGATAAACTTCCTAGGATGAATCCTAGATTGATAAATTCTTGGAAAAGGTTGGTGTGGGAAAGGAAGAATTTTATATTCTATTTCCCGGTCTTCTTTTAGGGTGAAGGCGAACCCGGAAAACAAGGAAGGAAGAATTTTATATTCTATTCCCTGATTCTGGAAAGGAAGAATTTTATATTCTATTTCCAGCGCAAAAGAAACTAGAAGTGGGATCTCCACTCCGAGAATCTGAAAGATTTAGATAAACTTGCCTTTTATAGGATTGGTTATCTAAATTGGAAAAAAGATTTCTTCGTTTATCGAAATGAAGTTTCAACTTTGGCTATAACCGTGAGAAGATTTAACCAAAGAGAAGAGAAAGGAGTTCTTTCGTTGGGTTTTAGTCCCACATTGCTTGGGAGAACAAACCTCACACTCCTCTACTTGTATAAATATATGTGCATATTCAATATTCAATTCAAGGGAAATTTACCCAAGATTCTCTCTCTCTCTCTTACTTTAACACTTCAAAAAAAAGAAAAAAAAAGACCCTCACCCACCTTCCAATTAATTTTTCTCCGAGCACCGTTGATGACCAAGATGGTTGGGAGGTTCCAATATGGCTCTCACTATCTTGGGTTCGATTCCCGGCCACCTCATTATCCAAAAAAATTAATTTTTCTATAATTTCTTCAGTTTAATGAGTAGAAGAATATGTTAGTTCTTCATAACGAATCTGGTCCAGTACACAACACCCCAGTACAAAAGGTTTATTATAAAAATGGATAGCCCTCTTAAAATTATTACTAATGCAACCATATTTATCACAACGGAATCAAGTCTCGAGCCAATCTAAATCTTTCTGTTACATGCATACATCAGAATGTTGGAATTTGGCAACCTCAACAAGAAATAGTTCGAGGCAATGATATCACTCTTATTAATTCCACATTTCCATTGGTTCATCTCCTTAACGAGAAACACGTTCATATATTCCACATTGCCATTCAAATAGAAACGCGCATCATTCTTTTTTATGCTTTTACAAGCACTATTCATCATCCTTTTCTTGCGAGCAAAGCGACGATAAACGTCATATCATGTTTCCCACTCTTCGTCAAATGACAATCCAACTTCTCAAACAAATTATCCATGATTTCTTGACCGAA